TCAATTAAAGCTTTGGGTATAAGGCCTTTAAGAGTAAGATCCAGGTAGAAAGAGTTTGCTTGAAATGGTATTCGGTCAAAGGAAGGGTGTTTTTGAACTTTTCGAATAAGTTCATGAAGTTGGCTAGTAGGTAAGTCAAGATCTGCTTTAGATAAAATATGCTGAATTGATGAATTAATAATATTTGTTATAAGAGATGGGTTGAGACAAGTTAGAAAGGCTTTACTTTATTATTATTTATATTTATATTTATATTTAATAAAAAAATTTATTTATTTTTTTATTTAGAATTTGATGGCAAAAATTGAAAATGGCAATAATAGTTCTCTTTATAGTTTTCCTACTAATATTCAAGAAAATCTTTCAAGTCCTGATTGGTGGAAAAAGTTACAAGAGTTGCATAATTTAGTTGAACCTTATTGTGCAGCTTTAAATAAATTGCAAACTAATGGTGCACAGTTGTATAAAGTTCTTTATGCATTCAGATAGATTGTAAAGTTTTTAAAATCTAATACTAAACTTATTTTACAAAATTATTATATTCAAAAAATTGAGAAACAGTGGGCTGAATAGAAACAACCTCTTCTTTTTTACTTCGTCCAAAGTATAAAGATAAAAAATTTAATTTTACACTTTCAAATATTTTATATACTTATTTAGTAAGATGGATTTGTTACTATTATACTAATTGGGTTAATAAGACATCTCTAGTTATTCTTGCAGAATTAGAGCAGTATTGTGCAGAAAAAAATCCTTTTGATCAAAAAACATATAACCAATTTAATAATCCCTTAAAATTTTGAAATCATGTTGCAAATTATATAAAAGAACTGCATCTTGTAGCTTTAAAAATTTTTTTAATTTCAGTTGCTAGTGCTTCAGTAAAATGGTTATTTTCTAAGATGGGTTGAATTCATACTGCTAGGCAAAACTGATTAATAGTAATTTATAATTAAAAATAAGTTTAGTTGGTTAGTTTTAGTTTAGCCAATTGAATCTATTTCTATTTATAATTTTTGATTTTAAATTATTATTTAATATAACTAAACTATTAATTTTAATTTTAGTCTGATAAAGTTTTAAAATTATGTCAATTAAGAGATAAATTACAACATAATCGTTTAAATGAAGCTTTAACCAAACAAGAAAAAAAAATTTGTAAAACAAATATTGCAATGCAAGCACAAAACACAAACTTAGAAATTTCTGATAATGAAAGTGTTGATTTATTAAGTAAAGAAGATATTTATATTGAAGATAGTTATACTAAAGAAACCAATATTGAAAATACTAACGTTGAAGATACCCATTTTGAAAATTCTCATATTGAAGATACTTATGTTGAAAATACTTATATTGAAGATATTTATGTTGAAGAATTAAATAAGACAAATAGTGGTGATATTCAAAATATTGATAATTAGTGCTATTTAGTATTTAAGTGAATAAAACTAACAAATGAAGATGAAATAAATCATTAAATAATAATAATAATGCAAATTTAGATTCTTTTGAAGATTTTTGTATCATGCATTCTGCTGAAGATTATGAAGATTTTTGTATCATGCATTCTGCTGAAGATTATGAAGATTTTGGTACTACACATCCTGCTGAAGATCATAAAGCAAAATAGAAATTATTAGATTTGTTTACAGATTTACTTGAACAACCCGCTTACTTAAAATTGTCAATTGAATAAAAAAGTATAGTATAAAATTTAAAGATTATTTTTTTATTTTATATATAGTAGTATATCTTTTATTTATTTTTTTATCTCAATATGTAAATTTTTTTCTTTGATGTTTATTTTGAAATAATATTATTTGTAAGAACTTATCTTATTCAATAAATAGTTTTATTTTTTATTTGCTATTTTATAAATAAATTGTTTTATATTGTATTGCTAGTAGAAATAACAGAAGAAACTATTGATGTTACATGACTGCTTCTACATCTGGTATGCAACATATAAAAAAATCATTTTAGAACATCAGATTATTCTGCTAGTCATATTATAATTATAATTCTATACCATTTTTACTATAATAAAATAGTGTGGGATTATAATCATAACATGTACTAGTAGAATGATCTGGTATTGTAAAATAATTTTTTTATATGTTGCACATTAGATAAAGAAGCTGTTGTATAACATTAACAGTTCCTCCTGTTAGTAAAAATATGAAATATATATATTTTATAATAACATATGTATAAATATGCATTAATGCATATAATATATAAAATGTATATGTTATAAGAAGTATATATCATTTTACTAACAATTAATTCATTAACATCCTATTTTACTAACAATCAATTCACTAACAAGTTTATTTTACTAACAACTATTTCACCAACAGCCTATTTTACTAACTAGTTTTTTTTTAACAGTTGCATTAAGTTGCATTAACATTAACTCTAATGCTAACTGATCCTAACAAAAATAATCTGAATTACTTTGTCAGTAAAGTGACTGTCAGTGAAATAACTGTCAATAAAATAAACTTGTTGGTGAATTGAATGTTGATAAAATAGGCTGTCATTAAAGTGATTGTAGTGAAATGAGCATTATCTGTTATAAATTAAAATTTTTTCTATATATAACTGCTAATTTTTGTACTATTTTATTTATAATAGTTATAAATATTAATATAAAAAAACATGCAAATATTATCTAATAAGATTTGCTAACTTCTTTGATATCATTCATATTAGCTTAAGTTGATTTAATATTATCTATTTAGTAATATATTTTAAGTCTGATAGTTTTAATATATACTAAATTTTAAATTACAAATAGTTTAAAATTTGTTATAACAAAGTTTAAAATATATTTTCATGCTTTTTAAATTATAGTAATTATTATTTATAAAAAAATCTGTTAATTGTTAATTATATTAAAAAATTTGAATTATATTATTAAACATGTCCAATTAGCCCTAGCCATCAAGGCCAATTGGATATATGGCTAATTAATAAATTGGATATTTAGACAACAATCAAGGTTAAATAGCCATTTTCTAATTAGCCATATGTCCAATTAACTACAAAGGCTAGGGCTAATAATATTTTATTGGACTTATGACTAATAACAATACTGTTGATCAATGCATATAGAAGAAGAAGGATAGTAACAGAATTAAATATATATAGAGGTCATGAAACCAGTTTAGAACAGATGACTAACAAGTGTAAAAAATGAATAAGATGAGACCACAACCTGAAAGTTATAATAAGATAAATGCAACATTAGAGCAGATACTAGAAAATAGAATAATAGAAGAATGGAAAAGAGATGAAATGAAGTTATTAGAAATAAAATAAACAGAAGAATTAGAACTAGAACTGATTAGAAAACAAGAATTAAATAGTATAATTACAAATCAGTTAGTAAAGATATTGATATGAAACAAGAAGAAAGACAAGAAAAAATACAGTTATTATACTAATGAAGCATTATACAAGAAGAAAGAAGAAATAAATACAGAAAGAATAGGTATCAGTTGGATACAAATAGAAGAGAAAGAAGATTGGCCAGAAGAAGAAACCACATTGGGATTCAAAGGTTGGCCTTCAGCAACAATAGCAGAATTAGCAGCAATATGAACAGCAATCCTAATGGTGCCAGAAGGAAAAAGTGTAGAAGTGTTTACAGACAGTATTGCAGCATTAAGGAACATTAATAAAGCACTTCAAAGTATAGAAGAGGAAAAAACTGAAAAAGAAAAATGCAATATGGATAATAAATATTGTAGATCTAATCAAGAGCAAAAACATTAAGATGGAAATAACCAAGATCAAAAGTTATAGTGAAAATAAGTGGAATAACAGAGCAGACTTTCTTACAAAGAAAGAAGCAAACTGCTGAGACAAAATATATGCAGATAAAGTCAAATGTAATAGAATAGAGTACTATTTAGAGTAGGAAAATAAGAAAATTGACATACCAGCAAGACTTCTGTATAAAATAATAGCAAACACTAGAATAGGAGCCAGTTGGAGAGAGACAAACTCAATACAAACATTAGAACCAGAAAAGAAAATATACTACATAATTGGTCAAATTTTTGGAAAGAAATGAACAAAACAAAAGAGGTTCACTATATGTCAAAAAAACTCAGCACAAGAAGAGCTACAGCAATCAAGTACATAATGGATAGCCTACCAACACTTAAGGAGTTAAACAGAAGAAGACCAGAAGTGTATACAATAGCAGAATGTCAAATATGCCAAGTTAGTGAAAAAGAGACTCAGGCATATTTAGCAGGTTGTAGTAAACAAAAAAGCATGTAAAAGTGGATTCAAAAAGTTACAACAGCAACAGCATAGAACAGACTCAAGAAAGAGAAAAAAAACAGAATTTCACTACAAGTCTTATACAAGGCATTATTTAAAGAAACAGAAGCTAAAAAAATTATAAACAGAAAAGTGCTAATAAAAGAACTCATAATGCTAAAAGTAGGGAAAAGACTAGAGTGATTCTTAAGCAAACAAGCAACACAGAACTGTATAGATATAGTAATAAGAACATTATAAAACACTTTCTACAACCAAGTATGGAGAGTACAATGTGAAAAAATACAAGCTTGAGAGAAGAAGACCAATATACTAATCAAAATAAAAAAAAGTGCTTATGCAAGAGAGAAAACAAAGAAGAGAATAAAGAAAGATAAACAAACAAAAGAAGAAGAAAAAAAAAGAAAAGCTGAAAAGGAAGAACAAATAAAGAAAGAAGACTTGAAGACAATAAATATGCTGGTCATAGAAGAGAGAAAACCCTTCTGATATAGATTTAAGTAGTTAGACAAGCAGTTTATCTCTAACTAAGATAGTGTAACAGATTGCACTTAGATACCATTAGAATGGCCAAGTAATGCTAGACTTAGATATTGAGAAATTTTATATAATTGTATAGATATATAGTTTTAAGAATCTTAATAAAGTACTAGTATAACTGCTTAAAGCTAAAAAAAAAAAAATTTAATATAATAAAAAAAAATTATAAATTTGAGAATAAAAATTTTGAAAATAAATTCAAAGAAATTAAAAAGAATGATATCTTGTTTTATTAATAATAGAATTAGTATTATAAAAAAGTTCAGTTAAAATTTTAAGCAGTTGTCTAACTATTATATAGATAATATAATAAAAATAAGTCTTAAGTGTAAGTTAAATAAGAGTATTAGACTTAATTTTTTTTACTAAAATAAAAATTGTAAAAATATTTTTAAAAAAATAAAAAGCTAAAAAGCAAATTAAGTTATTAAATTGTGTTTTTTCAATAATAAAAAAGTTTGCAAACTAGTTATATATAGAATTAAATTTTAGTTTAAAATATTAAAATAAAATTAAGAATTAAGATTATTTAAAATATTGTTAGATTATTTAGTATTATTAGTTTTATTAAAATATACATGTAGGGTGTGGCGACCTAGTAAAGTGATTAGGTTGTTAACCTCCAAGTGGCAGGTTCAGAGTTCAAATCTCAGTGTTGATAGAAAATTTGAAAATCCTCCATATATTACAGTTAACTGTCTCTTGCAATTGGTTGGGATAAGACACCTGTAATCTATGTCACACCAGCATGACTGGCAGGTCACATGGCATTTGTGTAACAGTCACATAACATTGTCCTTTGAGACAAGGTCTGTGGTTACACAAAGGAATGCAAATCGGTACTGGGTGGTGCAAACTTACAATAAGTTCATATGGCCATGTAAATCATAAAAACCAGTAAAAGAAAGATGGAAGCCTACTTGGAAGATCTGAATAGAGAAGTAACCCAAGCTTTTAATGGTGCTACTGTAAAGACTAGACTTATAAAACGGAACTAGAACTTGTGAAACCAGACAAATGTGCTGGTCTTTGAGGAGGGACCGGATGAACCAACTAGGCTGCTGAAATTTTCAGATTCCGAAGAAAAAAGGTACATGCTGGCAAACATGTAAACCAGAGGTATGGTCTTGCCCTATCTTTTCAGACTATCTGGAATGGCAGCTTGGTAGAACTTGAATTGAATACCAAAGTAGTAAGGATATGTTGTGAAGTAAGTACCAAAGTTGGGATAAACTTTACAAGGGCATAGCAGTTTAATAGTATGCCTTGACTATCAGTGTTGATCTCGGCTATAGCAATACCAGGTCAGCTTTAAGGATAGGATACAGAAGATTCTGAAAGGTTTAGTACAAGGTCAAAGGTTCCAAAGAACTGCTTTAAAGACTTAGTGACCATGGCATATTTTTACTAACATCGGCCAGGGTCATTGGTAGGCAGAAGTAGGTGGGTGGATAAAAAAAGAGTGGTTAAATAGGAAACCTACAAGTGGGTTTCAGGTATGGCAGCTAGTATAGAACCTTCGGGTGGACTACTTAAATTAGACAATGACTAAAGTTGTACAAGTGGCTAGTTGAACACTCTCTCCATGATTGCCCTCTGTGGTTGTAAAGCAATCATTAGCCAAATATACTATTAATAAAATCCTGGGTCACAAGTACTTATCTTAATATTTAAAAAAAAAAAAATATATATATATACATTAAAATTATTAAAAGTAATAATAATTAGAGATTAGTTTGTAATAAGATTGATATTAGTAGTTATAAAGAAAAAGAAATTAATAAAGTCAAAAGC